ATCATCTCGCTACTGTTATTCAGAACTCTTATAGCTCTTACACTTTTACATTTATTATTTCTGATTTTATATTATTTTATTACTGATGCTCTTATCGTGATAAATTGGGTCCTCTTGTTTATTTTGTATTTTTTACAAAATGATGAACCACATGTTTGGTTCGAAACGTCGGCTAACGCAATAAATATCGTTACTGGAATTCCTGAAATTTTGTTTCATCCAAATTAAATTTAAATATTTATATAAATTTTCTTTCTTTTTTTAATCGCTATTAAAATTTTGTGATTGTAATTCTAACCACAATGCGGTGGTTGTTGAAATTTTCGCTGTAAATATTCTCGATGTTAAAATCTTTTTATTTCCTTGAAAGCCCATTTCCATAAACTTTGGAAGGGAATTAGAACACACCCCCAGTTCGGAGAAGCTCCTCTGGACATCCTATATCGGACCGTAATGACAAACAAGAGCTGGTGCTAAAGGGGCGGATAAGAAGGGACAAGAGCCGCTAACTAGATCGGACAGCGGCTACAACTCCTACAGAAGTTGCTGGCAACAAGTGAGATGACCGAGGGGCAGATGTGCAAGTTTGCTAAGTTTGGTGTGGAGGCGGTAGGGGGGTGGGGCGGGGGCAAACAAACCGTCTTCTGCTGACCTCTCCTCTAACTATCTGCGGTCGATCGTTACTGCCCTTCATCATCCTCTTTCCTCCGGCCCTTCTTGTCCCTCCGGGGCCTTGGTGTGGGCTCCAGGCTTGGATTTATAGAACGGCACTTGGAAAGTCCGCTATTTTTCGCTTAATTGAAATGCTTTCTTTAACGGATCTTGAAGTTTTTTAAAGCTTATCTGTTTTAATTAATATCTGCAGTATATACAGGGAGAGTTGAGAGGAACGGACCAAAATCGAGGAGTGTATAGCACACAGGAGAATAATAAAAAGAATAAATCATATATTCTTAACCAATTTTTGTTTACATTTCATTAGCTAATTACAAATAAACAATATTTCATTCATGTATTAGTATCATGATTTTTTCACAACAGATTGTAAACAAGTTACGGTTAGATTAGAAATTTTTTTAATAGTACCAGTCATAATCATAGTGATTTAATAGCTTAATCTTGAGTGTTTTAGTTCTGTAATTTAATAGAAGTTTAGAATCCTTCTACTGTGGATATTGACGTCATAGCTGGATATATTTTTTTATTAATTAAAAATATCATACAAATACACATAAAAAGACTTCAAATTTTTCAGTCCCAGACATCTGATACAATAAGATGTGAACAACCACAACATTACACACCGACTTACACGTTCAGACGTTCAATGGACAAATACGATCTTACTACAAACAATTATATATTGGGACCACAACTAGTATGACCGAGAACTTCAGAAGACAAGTGAAAAGGATCAGAATGAGAGATCTACTTACGTAATGGAAGGGATACGGCTGGGTATTGTTTTTCCTCATGCCTACCAAGATTTTTTAAGTTTTTTATTTGATTTTTCTCGTGCCTATGCCAGCACATCTGCTTATTGTAGATAGAGGCAATTGTCAGATGCGAATAAATAAATGAACAAAAAAAATAAATATCATAATAATTGTATCTATATTAACCGAAGCGTCCAAGGGACCACAGGACTATGATGTGATCATAGAACTATGAATTAGTAAATGAGAGAAATAAAACACTCAATTAGCATTTAGCTGAATTCTTAAATTATTATTTATATTAATCTTCTTATATTGTTACTATTATTTTTCATTCTTATTTTCGTTTGTATTACTGAAGTCTTACAAAATGCCAAACACATATTCACATTGATAATACATGAATATGTTTTTGGCTTAGGATTTTTGCAATGAGAGTACTTTGTATCTTTACGAAATATTGTTTATTTGTAATAAGCCAATAAAATTTAAACAAATCAAAATCGAGTAACAACATGTGTTTTTTTTTAAGTATTTTTCTGTGTGATAGCTAGGTGTATAGACATATATTCCCGATTTCTGGACCGATGGATATTGATAGATGTGGTTGCAAAAGAGGGAAATTTCAAAAGCATTGCTATTTGTAATAATCTCCGACGAACTAAATATGTATTAAAAAGATAAATGGTATGATATAAGAATAGTTCCATAATCTCTTGAGCACTTCGGATAATGGCATACAAATTTTGATATTTTTAATAAATACAAAAAGTCTAGTTATGGCTTTTATATTCACTGTAATAGGCTTCTAAAGTAAGTGAAAATACGAAAACGTACAATTAAAATTCAGCTAACTTATTATCAGATCTACTATATAAATTAATTTAATTTAGGTGTTTTCCTGTTATGTTTTTATAAATGATAAGACCATAATCGCTGAAAGTGAATATTTTTTATTTATCAATTGTAAGATAACTACTTCCTCAATTTGTTTCGTCCATATTTGGCTATTTAAATGGGATGTAATTACTATCTTCACTATGATATTACAATTATTTTGCAATGGTTTACTTGAAAATCATGGATAGTTTAATTGGTGGCAATAGAGATATAAGATGAACCATTGTGACTGCTGACTACTTTCACCACTGGGATGACAAGCTACTATCATAATCTTCTTTATCGGGCAGTTATCTTGATCAAACTAGAATTGACTTCATTTGATTTTAGATTAGCGAATAAGAAGCACTCCCTTCATACACGTTATGGCATTTTTAAATAGGAGGCTATCAGCATATTACATTCAGAAACTAGAACCATAAAGCCACCACTTATGTAACATTTTATGTGATATTTGGTGCTTAAACGAAATCTCATCAGCTATGTAAAGTATTTATGGATTCATCGAGCCTGAGATAAGAGATTTATTTTTTAATCATAATTATTTTATAAATTGTTATTATATTTTGTTATAACAAGATCGAAATATTAAGGTGCGTTTAGACATTTCACAAACTATGGGAAACTCAATTATCTAACTTATCTAATAGCGACATTAACATTAAGCCCAACTTTTATTTTTATTTAATTTGTTAACGACACAAGGTGTAAAACATAAAAAACGAGAAACCAAAACACTAGCATAGGGAAAAACCATTTAAATATTTTTGAAGGAAGTTAGTTCTAAATATCATAGGTTTTATTGGTGCTGACGTTTCAACCCAACATGTGGGCCATCATTAGAAATTGTTTTAAGCACGGAAGGTGTTCAAGTACTGGCAATAAGATAGGTAAGTGCTCGAAACAAGCCCTGATGCTGACCCACATGCTTGGGTTGAAATGTCGGCACCCATAAAACCCTTAAAAATGACTGAGTTTGCGCTATTTATCACCTATTTAAATATTTTTGTTGCTCATAGTTTGTGAAATGTCTAAACGCGCCTTTGGAGTTTACCTGTCATCTTAACCATCTTTTTCCTCTAGGCCATGTGCGTTTAAAAATTCATGAAAAACAAAACCATAACATTAATGAATAGTTTATTTCCAAAGTGAACGATAATCGCTTATTTTGGAATTGAGATAAGTATTGTTTCCAAGTAAAAATACCCGATTAATCCGATTGTGCAATATATATTTTTTTTCAAAAACGAACCTAAATATTTCAAAAAAAGTGGTGTATAAATAAAAACCAGTATTTCAAGGAATGTAATGGAACTTGCATTTCTTGCTCATTCTTATAAAAAATTTAATATATTTATTTATCAAAATAAAAATTAAAAATAAATTTATTTTATTATACCATTATTGATTGCATGCGAAAAGGTAATTTTTTATAATACAATTCTTTTCTCGAAACATACACCATTTTTTCGTTTCAAAAAGAGCTTTGAAGTTTATTTCTTTCCAAAAAGGACCCTATTCAAGTTTAAATGGTTTTTAATTACTACTGGGATAAACAATTATTTTCGGTGATATGTTCAACAAATAAAGATTTCCTTAATTAATTTTTTTTAAGTTTGTTTTTGTTATTACGTTTGGATTAGAAATTATAATTTCTACCTGACAAATTGTTAATAATAATTAGAGTTACCTTAAGATATAAGCGACTCAAAATGCAAGTTACAATTTATTCTGCTCTGTATGCTGATGATGACTTTTGCATCAATTTCTTTTACTTCATATTTGAGCAATTTAATTCGTATTTCTCTCGGTCGAATTATTATTTCTTTTTAATAATAAATACTTTGATACTTTTAATAGTTTGATGTGTTTTTAGTAATACTTTCAACATTGATTATATTTTTTATTTTTATATAAATATGATTATAATTAAATTTTTAAGCAATTAATTGATTTTTTTTCTAATATATAGGTACATATGTGCTTTCATATATGTTATATATAGATACATATTAAAATACATAAACAAATTTCCTTATAAATATTAAAAAGCTTTTATTGAGTTATTATCACATATATTCGTAATGTTTCGGCCTCTTGACCTTTTTTAAACTTTTCTTTATACATATTATTACCAAATGTTTTTTGTAGAATTGTTTGTTTGGATAAAAAATTTTCATATTGTTTGTCAAAATTTTGATTAATGGTTCTTTTTTCTTTCTAAAAACAGTAAAAAAAAAAAAAAAACTATAACTATAATAAATTAATATCAATATTAATACATTTTCTTTACTGTTGGTAAACAAACTCTTATTTCTTCATGTATTTTGGGATGAAAAATGGGTCCAAAAATTTTTTAATTAACTGTTCATTAATTAAGATAAAATGTATATTTATACAAAAAATGAATGGATTTATCTAATTTCAGCAGTGAATATCCTTAGTTTTTTAGAATTATATAAATACTGAGTCATACATTTTTAAAATCTTCTTAAAACAAACAACAAATTCAATTTGGATAAAATAAGAAATAAATAAACTGAAACTTTATCTTAAAAACCTAACTAACTACAGAATGTAAATGAAAATTACCTAGTTTTATTATTCTTTTGTACCTTTGTGTATGGTTATTTTCTGGAACTGTTTTTTACCGCTCAAGATGGAATGCTTTGGACAGAGAGACATCAGTTAAAAATAGAACATTTCAGGTGGAACGGGGCAGAAACCCGCAACCATAGGAACTGTCACCGCTGCAAAGAGTCGACACGCAGACCGACAAAAAGAGAAGGAGGAGAGGAAATAAAGTGTAAAACGGACGGGCCTTGGAGGAGACAAAGAGGGAAGAAGAAGAAGAGCATTACCGAAGAGTACAAAAGTAGGCTAATGCAAGTTCACACGGTCATGTGTGGGAAGAGGCGGGTGTCTTTGGTAAAAAATAGCTGGAGGTAGTTGTCTAGGCCAGTTCACTCTCGCTTTTCTTTGGCTCCTCTCTCTCTGTTTGGGTGATTCGTCTCTTAGGGGAGGGAGAACAAAGATGGAAGAAAATACCTTTAAAAAAAATTTAAAAATATTTCAAATGTCTCGTGAATTTATTTGGATTTTAAATTGTACATTATCCCACCTGAGACAAAATGTGAATTTTATCCAATATGAGACTCTAAAATATTTAGTACAAAAAAAAAAAAAACTGAAAAAAAAATCTTTTAGCGATAAATTGTTGAAGACAGCAAATGTTCTTTTTTTCCGAAAATTATATAAACATATAAATAAATAATAAATTAGTTTGAAAACTAACTATTATCATGTCATGAAGATTGTTAATCATGATTATAACATGAGAAGCCGTTCGTCAAAGATCAGGTCAAATTTTTAACCATCTCACTTAATTCACCTCTATTTTTGTTTTATTTTTTTTCATCTTATATATAAAGAATTGAATAGAATAGAAAATTGAACTTTATTCTGGGACTAAGTCCCCTTAGAATAACAATGATGAATTAATACAAAATAAAATGCAAATCAGGCCAAAAACTAACTTATAAAAATTCTAACATTATATACATTATTAAAAAAGTATTTAACTAATAAAAAAAAAAAGATATATATATATATATATATATATATAACTGAACATAAAATCTTCTCAAAATTACTTATTATTGTGATGAAAAAAGAAAGAAAAGAAATTACATATTTACATTTTAACTATACTATAACCTACTCTATCATTGATGTCATTTTATATGTTCTTTAGTTTCTATATCAGAAAACTGGTATTTATATAATATCTACTAATAATTATTTATTGTATTCATTCGCACTTTATACCAATTTACATATCTTTTGTGTTGCAAGTTGTTATTATTTTTTGTAGTCTTGATGAAGACCTACAAAGTGGGTGGAAACGTGGGTGCAATCAATAAAATATACAGTATTTAATTTGACCGCAATCCCCGACCAACTCTTTCTCTTACTAAATTTTATGATTTTATATTCTATTTTGTTTACTGATTACAGAAGGTATGAAAGCCTGCTATTTGTTTGTGAGGTTAAAATAAGTTTTTTTCGGAACCGAAAATTTCCTCTTGGGTTTAAATTTTGAACACGAAGGAAGTTTGATGTTAGAAATAAACGCGACTATCAAAGTTAATCCGATTTTGATGACATTTTCAGCGTTTGTGTGGATAGGTAACAAGATGGTATCGTAAAAATCTTTTTAATTTCATTCATCTATTTCGATAAAGAATGAATAAATGTAATTTCCTTTCTACGCCTATATTTCAAAATCCTTTTTTGTATTTGATTTTTTTATTTTTTCTTGAGCTGAACTAAAATGGAAGATAAAAATTTAACAATAAGGTAAAACTCAATAAAAATGTATAAAAAATTACATTAATATAAATCGCTTCAGAATCCTAAAGCTACTTCCGAATTATCCTATACCTAAAGTTAGGTAACAAATTTATTGAAATAATCTCTTTTATAAACTTCTTGTCCCTATTACCTAAACGAGTATTCAATTTTGAAAAAAAACTTTTAATATCATCTATAGTGAGATAAACAAAATATGTGTCTAATACTACTTATGAATGTCCAAAACTAAAAACTAAATTTTAACCAGTAAACACTATTATAATATAAAGAAAACACTTTAAAAATAAATGTTTTGTTTAACATTCTTGCTTAAAGAAGACTGTAATGAGAAATAGACTTTTCCTATAATGTAAGGACTTAAATAAATGAAAATGTACAGGAATACTTGTGTGTATGTAAATACGAGATCTGATTATATTTTATATTTTAGTTATTAACAGTATACAAAGTTTATTAATAAACTCCGATTTTTGTTCATACACATTTCTTAAAATTATCTCCCACTTTGTTGATGAATCTAGCATTTTCTGTAATATTGGATATCTTCGGAAAATGTATTTATATTGTTTTAATGTCTTGGATTATTATTCTTCTTTTCTCGATAGCATCTGATCGATTTGCCTGAACTTTTTTTATTGTACTTAGCCTGTGTTTGCATTTATCGAAAACATTTCTTAAATTAATCTTAGGATCTGTTAATGAAGTTTGTATTGTAGTTTTATATTTACAACTTAAAATGTCTTCTTCTAAAATATTCAGAAACTATATATCATCTGGTTCCTTTAAGCTTCGGTCTTAAGCATATATATTTTTTTATTTATTTTATTTTTTATCTTTATTTTATAACTATTCTTAGCCTGATACCTTTCAAACAAATGCAATTTTAAAGTTAAGGTAATTAATAAATGCAAAGTCTAAATTTTATAGTAAAAAATTTGATAGTTTTGTGATACCTTAACAGCTTCCCATTTGCAATGGCGTAGAGAGATAGCATCGATTATCGGACAGTAGAGAATCGTTTGAGCAAGCATAACGCTTGATATAAATTACACTATAATGCTATGTTATTTTAAGTTGTAAATTATACTTCGGCCATCGTAACTCCTCCGAGTTGTAAGAAGGCTGTTATGTTTAACGTATGAAAAAAAACACGAGATAATTCATAGAAAGTACAAGATGGTTAACTCGTTAGTTTTAAACAAGAAGTTGATTTTACGCTTCCAATTACATCATGTGTATGCCTCTTGGGTTTCTTCACAGTTGGCGGTAACTGAAGCAGAAATTTCCGCCGTTTGGCATTTCCGCCTTTTGTTATTACTCCTTTTGCTTAATCAGGAGTTAAATAACAATGGATGTGACAAAATGGCTCCGTAAACATCAGATAAATGTCTTCTCTTGCTTACAATTTAACAGGATGTATTACCGTTCCGGGCAGGGTCGGTGCGTAGTTGTCAAAACAGCTTAAGGTTTCACTACTGACAACACCAGAACAATCATATTGTTGTTTCTTGCATTCGTCGCACCTGTACAACAACTTCTGATATAAAATAATAATGAGGAAGGCGCATGCGCTAGGAGTGATGAATAAAAACAAAACAATTTACAGTTTAACTCCCACTACATCATTATGTTTTATTACGAAGCAATAAATTCATACTTCTTACTTAGTCGAGATGCGCATACATAATAACTCGAATCAGATAACCGTTCACTGTTTCACAATTTTAAATAATTTTTGATTTGCTATTACAATTTTTAAACTCTAATTATTAACATATTATATATATTTTCTGTTTTATCATCTTATGTAAATCGAGAAGTATAAATAAAACATTCGATCCAAGGGGCGCAAGAGAAATCAAGAAAAGACTGTCCAAAGAGCTGATGGTTTATAATGGGGGCAAGGTTTATCATTCCCACTTGGGAAATATGAATTTTTCGAAGTTACTCATTAAAATACTAATGATACTATAATTACGCTTTCAATAATTAATCAATTAATGATTAATTTTTTTTTATCCAACTAAATAGTAGGTATTGTGCCCCAATTGCCAGGCTTCAATGGCATCCACATCATTTAACCTCTTGACTCTTGACTTAAATAAAGTTAAAGAGTCTCTCCATTTAAAGAAAATACAAAGGCTTAAATGGAACAAACAATTAATATTACAAATATAATGGCATAGTGTGATAATAAATCATATTTAAATGAAAATCTGTGTTTGTGTTAACTACTCAAAGGCATCTATGTTATACCTTCCTACTACTAAAAGGTAAAGAAAGTACTGCACTCAGTTTTCAACACACGTTGCTGAACACACCTCCCTGAAGAAGACCTGCAAAGTAGGGTCGAAACGTTGGCTTTTTATAAAATAGTTTTTCCATTTATTTTATTGTTATTGTTATTGTTTTGCTATTTAGTCTATTTATGACCGCCACCCTGGACCATTTCCTTCCTTAATAATACAACGGTCAACTATTAAGTATTCGATATGACTCAAAAATCACGGGGCCAACACCGGCCAGATACAAACTCAGCACCTCCTCGCCGCAGTTTCAGACTCCATGGTAACAACAGTTCTAAGTGAAACTCCTTGTTGAACACTCCTCTCTGAAGAAGACCAGCATAGTCGGGTCGAAACGTTGAATTTTAATAAAATAGTTTTGCCACTATCTATGTATGACCGCTAGCCAGACCATCTCCTTCCTTTACTATAAAGTACATTTTTAGTTCTTCAAAATTATTATTGTCATTAAATATTCGATTTCTTTAAGCTATAGAAATTACAGCTAAATCTCTCATCTATATGAATATTCTACAACTATATGATAGAAACTTCCTTTTAATGTTCAAAATTGGCAATTCCTAGAGAATTGTTGAATCTTTACATTCTAATATGTTATTCCGTAACCATAATAATGCAGTAAAGGTTCAATAATACTTGGCTTGATTTTGTTTTGATAATAATCGGAAATAGCTAATTTCAAAAACTTCCTTAAATTTTTAATTTGGTAATTTTTTTATAAATCGTTAAGATTTATACTATAATAAAAATGTTTATGACCATCCTCATCGCTCAATCAATGCTACATTTTCCTCCTGTTGGAGAGCACGTTTTTCCGCCAGTTCTTTGACAACCACTTGGACGACCGCCTTGGAAACCCTAGGTCGGCCAATCCACCTTCCACCGGCTAGACAATTAAATTAACATTTATATTAACAGCAAACGGGGCAGCAGCATTTAATGGGGCACTCATGGTTGGCGTTATGGGGCATCAAAAAAATTAAAACACACATTAACAAAGATAGAGACCGCGACAAGAAAAAAGTCATGTTTCTCATTTCGTCCCGCTGTGACTTAGTGTCTCTAAGTGTCCCGCACTCCGATTACAGGGTTATTGTCAACTGCATAAAAGTAATAAGACTTGAAATTTATTCTACTTTTAATTTGACACATTAAATTATTTTCCAACCATTAAAGTTTTTGGTTCTCGGAAAACCTATTTTCACTATGTCTTTTTCTTTCGTTATTCAACTCAAGTTTCTAAAATATATAATAAAAAAATAATAATAA